GTGTGAAAGGAAACGACTTCGGAGTGTTTCGGACTAAATCCTGGAGTACTGGAGCAGGCTAGTTGTCTGTAGCCAACAGTGCAGATTAAAGGTGGTATGTCCAGTGAAAGAAAACAAACTTAATGTTTTGCCACAAAATCATAAAAGTCTTAAGATGGGAAGAGATACCAACTTGTTTGAGAATTAAAATCTATCACAATTTATACTAAGCTAAAAATAAAAGTATCTTTTAAAAATTCGATGAAAAACGTGTAATTTTGATCCATTTGGATTAAAACGGCAACATTGTTTATTATCTTCCTCCAAGACCATACTTTGACCTGGACGTCATGTGTTTTTTAGTACATAATTTACAGAAAAATTTAAAGATTTTGTGAAATTTCGTTGAAAGTGGCGCAAACTTCTCGAAAAATTCATAATTAGCTCCTAAGCCGACAGTTTGATTAAACAGTATTGCAAACACTGTTGATGTTGTATTCAATTCCATTCAATGTCATAGAAAGAATCTCGAAATTGGCTAACCACATCCGGAGATAATGGCAGTTTAGTGAAATCACTTTTTTCAAAACTGGAACAACGGAAATTTAGCTATCAGGCAGGTTCTGCAAATTGGCAGGGGTTGAAATTCACTCAGAAGTGAATTGCAGAAACTGCCTGAATATCTCGAAAACTGTTCTACTTTTCTAACATCTGGTTTCATATTGCTATTTGGAGATTTTTGGTGATTAGAATTAGCGATAGCGAATCTTACAATTCGAATGCAGATATTCAGCACAAGCCAAATTTTCAGAAATGCCAGAAAAGAGGATTTTCCAACCTCATGAAAAGGGGTTGTTGTTTATGTGACGCGATGCTCGGGAGGAGCTTTTGGTCTAACTTGGTGTTTTTAGTTGCCGGCAATGAATGACAAACGCAAATGATCTAACTGATTGCAGTTGAGTAAGAATGCCACTAACTCCATTCCATTGCATAAGTGTAAGCACTCGTAAAGCCCAAAAATCCGAGCAAAATATTGAAAACCGCAAAATTTCAATAAATTCTACAAAAGTTCTCGCACCATATTGTCGAAGCCCCTCTTACCAGCACACTGCCACACCACCAGCGAAAGGTGCAAGTCATCCTGCCTAAGCCCAAAACTCATTTAGCCAAACAAGGAAAATTTATGTTAAGGCGCGGCGAATAAAAAAACAGTAAATTGGAAAATCTTTGGCATAACAAAAACAACATTTACGGATTACTCTCACCCTGAGTTATAGCTGCATGTTTGTGAGTATAGTTTGGCCCTGGCCATGATTGCTTCACTAGCAAACGACCCATCAGGATACGCACCGCTAGGCAAATTGGCTTACGCGGCCGATCGCTCAAAGATCGTCTAAGAAGAAAGTCCATGGCAAGACAAAAAGAAAAGGTGTGCACATAGAAGAAAAGGGCAGAAGATTAGCTGGCTCAACGAACGAGGTCGAGCAAGATGCTGATGAGGCAAGATTGGGAATGAGGATGCGGCTGCGGCTGCAAATGTAGAGCGTTTGTTTTCTGGGTGAAACTATTTGCAGCCCATTGTTAGTAGCAAAGCGACAAGGCAACAGGCACAGCAAAAAAATATTCAATACAAAAAACAA